AAACTTGGTGGCGGAGTAGACCGCGTAGCCTCCGCAGGTTTCGACCCTACTTTTGGGCACCTCCTCCAAGCCTAGTGACTCTTATCATCTCTTATCTCTCTTATCTCTCTTTTACAATGCCTTTTTCCAGAAGGCTTCCCACCCAATGTCTTAGTAACTCAGTTGACACACCCGGTGGCTCCTGCCTGGTAGGGAGATGAGCCCCGCCGCAGAGGACACGATGGCTACCCGGCCACCTTGGCCGTCACTGGCCATCACTTGTGCTGCAGCCGTGGCCTGGGCTGGAGCGACCGCTGCATCCAAGGGCCCCTTCTTGGATCTGGGGCCCTTGGATGCAGCGGTTGGGCTGAGACAGTGAAATCGTGTACGAATTGGTCTGAAACCCAGAAGAGGGGCTACAGAACCAAATCCATCCAAATCCTATGGAGGAGCACATGCACTTATCACTACTATGAACTATGAAACGACATATATAATGTGAAACCTACAGTAGGAGAAACCAAAGAGCAGTGTAGAACGGCAGGCACTGAAACAGCTACAATCGAAAAAGAGCAAACCAGCTAGGAAATCCAAAACAACTGAACCAGCCCATCAGCCGGCCCCATTTCACACTCGTTTCGCAAGCTCAAGCCGCGGCGGCACTTCTGAGTGCCCCCAACACAGCGCAAAGAACCCAACAAGTTGGTCGAGATCTGAGCATCCTTCGCCGACGACGTGACGGCCGACCAGTGGGACCGATGGGGACCGATGGGGACCGATGCGACCGTGAAAGAAATGGAACGTCGGCCGATCAAAGTGAAAGATTCAGTGGATTCTCTTGACAAGAAAGCGTGTGATTGATTAGGGCTAGGACCTAGGGTATGTATATATATATATATATGTGATATGTGTGTAGATCCGTGGAGCAGGTCAGCACTGCTGGAAAATATGGCACAAAAGCTGAAAGGTTGACACCAATCTCCACCTACATGAGCCTTGACTGGCCTGGTGAGACCAGTGCTATCGGCTCTAAATTCACGGTGCCGATTCGTCCATTCCCTCCATGTCTTAGTGACTATATAGACCCCCAAATAGATAGAAATGTCGATCCCCACTAAAAATGTATTGGAAGCCGATTCATTTGGAGATCACTATATAGTGGATGATGCTAGTTGATCCAGGATCGATCAAGTTTTACCCACTTGTGGCCCCTGCCGCAGCCCTGCCCTTCGACTGCCAACTCAAATTCACGAAGCCGAAGTACACAAGAAAAGGAAGAATTGATGGACTCAGTCTTGGACCCCAAGGTTGCACACTCTTGCAGCGAAACCCTCATTCTTCCACGGCACCATGAGCTCATCGATCTGTTCCAAGGACGTGCCGACCAGAAGCTTCGCCACCCCTGGGATCAAGTCTTGGATTCTCAATGTCAATTGGGGTGTGAAAACAAGGCATTCCCTATCGATGCCCCAGAAAGGGTTTCCCAATCGGAAAGCAAACTACTCCTTGAGTCTGTGAGGCTGTTTCGAGAGGCCTTGCGACGCACGAAAGCAGGTCGGTGGTCAATTTTCCCTTCTACTGGGTATCCATGCGCTGCAAAGGAGTCCTCGTGGAAAGAAACCTCATTTCCATGATCCCCTTCCAGTACACACCCAGACTTGTACTTCCCAGCCAGTCGATGTCGGCGCCAGAAAGGGGATCCTAAAACTGGACACTTGTCCATTCTGAAGGTGATATTATGAAGAAAGCCTTGTTGGAAAACTCCCGCGGAGCGCGACACACCCAAAGGGCGCCCGCCTGTGCCAGCGTTGCAGACGACCACATCCACACGGCCAAAGCCCTCCGACGCAGCTTCGCCCAGCAACTCCGCAAAGTGTGCGCCTCGCAAGACGTGGCTGCACCAAGAAGAGCACGGTAAGAGCATGGTACGCGCGTAAGACGTAGGAGGAAGAGAGGCCACTCCCTGGCCAAGCCACTCCGCATGGCCGACACGTCCATGGCGAGGTGTTGGATCTTGGCTCCTAACCGGCGCTCCATGGCGTGCTGGTTGTGATTTGCCATCGGGGGACACACCCATTGAGTTGAGTGTTTTGCAATTTAGCACCTCAATATGACCCTCCAACATCATGTTGACCATCTGGGGTTTGCTTTGGCCAACTTGCTTCTTCTTTGCACCCAATACTGTCTATACCAATTGGCTGCTCACTCCAGTGTATCCCCTCTATTCATCAACCAACTAATAGTAAAAGGCCATCCATGGGTCAGCCCCAGATCTCCTGTTGGACCTTGCAACTTGCGAATCTCCTCACAAGCATCCCTGGGATCCGCCGATCCGTCGGCCGGAGACGGCGGAAGCTTCCGCTGCAGTGGTGTCCCGGTGAAGCAAACAGAGGACGTGATACGTCCCACAGCCCACATATCTCACACATCAACGGACAGGATGCAAAACCAGGGCCAGCAGGGGCAGCCAATCATGCATGAAAAACTGTTGGGATTTCCTAACTCAGCCAGATTTGGGGAATTGTCCATCAGAGATTGGGATAGCATGATATTGGCGATGTCCTCCGATCTCATGTCCGATCTCAAGACCGACTCCCTGGACCAACGAATTGCACCGTAGTACGTAACACTGAGTGAAAGAATCGGAAAGCACCATACACAACCTGTAGACTGTTCACTTGGGAACTTGGGAAAGCATCATCAATACAGTGGGCCTTCCGTTCAAACCACTGCACCAAATTCTGAAACCACCAGTGGTATCACTGGTTCCTCTGCTGCCAAGCCACGGCAGTAGAAGGAACATGAAAGTGCATGTGTTGACGATTGGAGGCATGTGACCCTTTTGGCACCAGACAAAAATAGAGCAGGTCCCATCAGGTTCCCCACATTGGTGCTCCTGCCAGAATCCCTGCTCCGGTCGGCTACACACTGGATCTGCAGGCACGCAACTTCATGGCCCAAGGCGCTCCAACTTCTTCTTGGTCCGCGCAACGATGGTCACCTTGGCACCACGCAAGAAGCAAAGCTTCGCCAGAGAAAGCCTTGGCGGTGGTCGACTTGCAAGGCTTGCTCGAAAAGGCGGAGGTGGTCTATAGGCCAAGAGTTCTGCCAAATGGAGCCGGAAGTTCTACTCCTTCCAAACTAAGATCTATGGGCTAGGGGGCCCGGGCCTCATTTTCGGGTCGGGGGAAGGTCCTGTCCATCGTTCGTTCTTGGTGTCGCCATGTTCATGCTCTTTGGATCCGTTCGCTCTTTGGCATTTCGCACTTCGCTGGTCGAGTGACGGGTCGCGACCACCCGCGAAGCGAAGCTTGGACAGACACAGACATAGACATAGCCATGGTAATGCCACAGTTCTTTCTCTCAAAAAGTCCATGTCAAGAGAAATCGAATTCCAACATGTTGCAATTCCAATAACCCTTGGTGGACTTTGGGTCGAATGTTCCATCAAATTCTGTCAACCTTCTATAGGGCATCTTGCTTTAGTTCAAAATTGGGATGTGAATGATTGTAAATGAATGTAAATGCTAACCACCTGAACTAGAACCGTTCCAGCAGCCGATGCCCAAGAATCCTCCAAGCAGCCCTAAGCCTTGAGATCCTCCAGTGATCAGCACATGCTTCCCGCTAATTGACCTAAGCACATGCTTCATCTTCCAAACACTCCACGACCGAAGGTCCAAAATGTCAGGTGCGGCCGTCGTCACTTGTCGACCTGGCTACTTTCGGTAGAAAGAAAGGGGGGAAGTTCAAAGACCCCTCCAAGCTCATGTCATTCGAGGACATCATCATGGGCATGGGCAGAATGCTAATACAGGAGCGTAATACAGGACCAGGACCGTATATCTCATTTTCCCCAAGCTCATGGCAAGGAGACTTGGTTGCAGGGGGGAGAATGACCCACACATTGTGTACCAGACCCTTTCCACATTTTTCACATACCCATTCATTTTGCCTGCTTCGGTTGAAATCCTTTGCCCGTTCCGTTTCGCTTCGTTTCGTTCAAAGCACCCTTCCTCTCGTGGAGAACACGCTGAGCACGGTGCATCTTCTTGGAGGTGAGGCATCGCCAGACCAAATGCAAGCAGCAGGCACCGCTGCCCACCGCCAACAGCGTCCATGTCCAAAGCATGGACTTTTCCGACCGGTCGGAGTGAAAGGTACCGACCAGTCGGGGCAAGAAACTGAAGCGTCGAAACAAGGTGCGAGGAGTGAGGCACACCAAGTCTCCAGAGATACAAATCGTCACAGGGAATTTTCAACCACTTTAGAGTCTCCAGAATCGACAAAGCATTGATCAATTCATACTGAGTCGAAGTCTTCAACTGCTTCCAAACGATCCTTCTATCAGATGCCCAAAAGTCTGAATGCTGAGACTTCGATCCCTGGATGGTTCGCCCATCACACTGTAGCCGTAGCCAATCCCATGATTTTTGTCAGGTGAGGCCGGGTGAACCCGCCGTCTGAACCCGCGGTGTTACATCGTTCCGAGCGAAACAGAGTCTCGAGCCGCTCAAGTCGAGATCCGAGACAAAACCCTCGGTGGAGTGAAAACCATCGGTTTTGGTCCAAGAGGCCATGCCATCCATGAAAACCATGGTTTCGGAGTGTAACCGATGTTCGGGCTAGGTCCACGTCTCGCTGGCATGAAAACCTTTTTCGCATGAACTGTCCCTTCGCACCAAAGAAGCGGAAGAGTTTGCTGGGGAAATGTTTCAGTCTGTTTTCTTGCCAGAAAGAAGAAGCAACTGAAAGGACTGTCGGAAGTTGATCTCGAACAGGCTAAAAGACACATCTTCTAAATCCACACAAAACACAAGACGTGTGGATTCAGAAGGGTCATGGAAAGCCCAAACTATGTGAGAAAAGGGATTTCTCAAGGGACAGAATCGGTGATCGGCAAGTCGGTGATTTCTCACCTGTTGGCATGTTTGTCATTCTTCTCCAATCCTCATGGGTCGCAGGTGCAGTGCGCAGCGCTCAAAGGGTCACCAGCTCGCTCATCCACTTGGGCACCGCGCTCAAGAGCGCCAGGTCGCACTCATGGGCAATCTTCAAGCGTGAGGCCTTAGCTGTGCCCAAGACACCGTTGACCGGGTACGTTTCGTGCCGAAAAGAGACCAAAAAGCAGCCATTTTGAGGCCGAAAGCCAGGTTTTCAGAATGGTCCGGAGGGTGCAAAGTCACTGAAACACGTTGGATATATTGAAAGAAAAAATGAGGTGCAAAGTCACTGCATATCAAAAGCAGAATGTGATGTGTTTGTGTGTGTGTCGTTAAGTTTTGTGTGGTCAGAATTCCTGATGGCCATCCTTCAGAAGATTAAACATGAAAATACTCAAAACATATCCAAACATAAACATAATATACCTTGCGAACATTGCCATATTGAATTCCAAAGTAAGGGTTCCAATCCTACATTGCCATATTGAATATTGACTATACATGTTAACTAAGATGGAGTAGTCAATATAGTATACGGTCATCCTGGGCCTCCACTGGAGTCCGAAAAGAGAAAAAACAACTCTGACGATCCAAGAGGTTGTTCTTTTGGTTGACCCCATAACAGAATGATTCACCCACCGATAATTGGGACCATTGAAAAACCTGCGATTCCTCTGTATTGTGGGGGGTCCAACCTTCGGGGTCACCCGGTTAAAAAGCGCGGACCAGGACCATCCTGTCAGGACCATCCTGACTTCCCTACACTGCTTGGGGATCTCCAGCCACACCCAGGCAGGATGGTCCGGGTATTATACTGTATATATATATATACATGTTATATAAATGTTTCGATTGATGGGGCAGCGACGGCAGCAACTTGGTGTGACCTGCATGAGCAACGCTGGAGTCATTCAGCAGAAAAACAGAACGTCTCGAGTGGTTCCGGTTTTAGACCTTGAAGATGGTGAGTCATCCTCGGAAATCTCATGTTCACAGGTGCCCCTCATACCATAGTACGTATGTGAGCCCAAGATGCAGCAATCATCAGGAGTCTAAGGCACCAATCCAAGAAAGTGTTGAGAAGATTGACTTGAGAAGAGGTTATCTCTGGGAGGTAGATCTATGTAGAATGAAACAATGCCGACCCTCCAAAGGGAGAATCAACTGCTTCCGCATATATATATGTTGATGTGTCACTCGTACCCAAGCCAACCTTGGTACTCGCTACCAGCTAAGTGGATCAAAATCCAGTGTCCTAGTGCTCCGCCGGGTTCATTCGCCCTCGCCCGTTCGACCGCTTTGCGCTGTCCTTTCCGTGCGAGTTGATTGAAGAGAGCTAGACACTTATTTCCATCAAGCTTGACCGTCGTTGACGCCGGGAGTATCCCCGCAACAGCTGGCTTGTGAGAAGGGGCTACCTGCATGGTAGCGGAGCCTTGTGCTCCAGTAGGATGTGGACAGGTGATGCTTTGTACTCTGCACTGCCGAGCCGTACAGAGTCGACAGGTGGCCTCAACACTGGGGTACAGAAGAGCAAGGATGGAGTGCCCGTCTGGGGGGGAGAAGCTGTTTGCTTTGAAGAGTTCATTGAAATGTGCCTCCTCTACGAGCAAACCGTGGTCAAAGAGAAGCGGTACCTGTGCGGTCCCCGCATAGCTGCTGAACTTCGTGGACCGGCCCGGAGAGTGTTGATTGGGAAGCCAGCCAACTGGCTGTCTCATGACGGCGGGGTGCGTGTCTTGGTTGCTGCCCTTCGTGCCGAACGAGGACAACCCAAAGTGCCCGAGATGTCCGAGCTTTTGCTGAAGTACTTCCGTGGAACGAAGAGACAACGGGGCGAACCCATGGGAGATTTCATTCTGCGAAAGGCTGAGGCCTACACTCGAGCCCAACAGTCAATGGCACGATACCAGCGAGACCATGGCATGGCATCGACCTCAACGTGGCCGGCATCGTCAACGGCAGGACGCCATCCAAGCTCTCACACCCGCAGTGAGCCAGGGGGAGAGAGTCAGCAGGGGCCTCATGAGGTCTCGTCTGGACAAGGAGACTCAGAGTTCCAAGATCCCATCGAAGAGTGGGACACCCACTACAATGGTTGGCAGGGCTACTATGACTGGTCCTGGTATGACTCCTACGGGCAGTCGTGGTCAAGGGATGATCGCCAGGATACCAGCGAATGGAGCCGCCATCAGCTTCCGGAGATTCTGCCAGACTTTATCCAGGGTTGGTACTTGTTCATGGACTCCGGCCTGGATGTGATGGAACGAAATGTTCTCCATGCTGAACTTCGTGGGGAGTTTGGAGTTCGAGTCGTGGAGGAGGTCCTCCGCAAGCATTGGTCGGACAGTGACATCCGGAAGCGAGACGCGGAAAAGGGGCGATTCCTTGCCAACTACTCAGGTCCCGATGATCTGGAAGAGGAGTGGGGCCACATGGGGGAATGTGATCCCATGAGCTTGGAGGCTGAGGGTTTCTCCGTGGACGAGATTGAGGCCATGGTAGCTGAAGAAGAAAGAGCCAGAAGTGCCATGACGGCCATTCAGGACAATCGCCGCACCTTGAGAGATGCGAGGGCACGGCAACATGCCGTGAAGATGTCGCGGCAGTTCTATGGCCGACCAGCTGCTTCTGGTGGAAGGGATGACGGCAATCGTGCTCGGGCTCCAATGAAGTGCTTCCGATGTGGTGGTCCGCACAGGATCGCTGAGTGCAAGGAGAAGCCCAAGCCGCCTTCGCAGGGTCACATGGCGGAGGAAGCTGCTCCGTTCGTCTTCTGGAACGAGCACGTGGCAGGCATGGCTGGGGCCTGCGACATGTCAACAGAATCATCCCAAAGTTTTATATCCACCACCCAAGCCGTTGCTGAAGGCAAGGCGGTGTTGGACGGCGGTGCGACTAGGACCATAGGTTCGATCACGGCCCTGGAACGTGTGACCGATTTGAACACCCGGAAACGGGGAGCGACAGGGGTAGCCAATATCGATTTTTCCGATAGACCCATTTTTGGGTTTGGGAATTCGAGCAAGAACCAGTGCGCCTCAACGGCGGATCTGCAAGTGCCGATGGCCGGCAGGTTGGGTACCATGAGGGTACACGCCTTAGATGAAGGCTCAGCACCGATTCTTCTATCCATACATTCGCTACGGCGACTAGGCGCCGTGATCGATTTTGAAAATGATTTGGCAGTTTTTCGTCATGTTGATCCCAAAAAGATGATTCGCCTGGAAAGGTCATCCGCGGGACATCAATTGATGCCCCTGACGGACGACATTTACACGCAGGCTGTGGATCTGGCGAAGCCGCTGGGATCCTTGAAGGACTTGGAGTAGGGACAACTCCTTTCTGCCTCGGACCCTGCCCCAGGTAGAAAGGTCGAAAGTGCTGCAGGGAAGGTTGGGTACGAGTTTGGGGAACTCGAACATGATTCTTTTTGGAACTCGAAGAATAGCGGAAAGACCCATGGGAACAAGAAAGATAAACACCAGGACATTCACAACATGGACCAAGAGTGCCCCTTGAATCGACCACCGGGCCAAGGTCAATGTGGAACAACTCAGGACAATGAAGCACATCAACACGTACAGACACATGACGCGCACACTCGTTCGAATTCGCGCCCGTCGGAGCCTTGGAACCGCCTAGACTCAGGAACTCACTTCACTTGTTCCTCGCTCGCGGTTTTGTCGAAACGATCGAACGACGGACTTCCAGTTTTTGGCTGTGAGTTTCATGCACACCCATGTGAGGCAGGTGCATTAGGTCCGACAGGTGAACTGATTGGTGCACCAGTTGAGTCAAGGGCGCCGGCGCGCAGTTTGAGGTTCGAACCGGAACCCCTAGCGAGATTTGAGTGTGTTCATCACGTGCAAGCGAGCCATGTCTTTGAACCAGATGAGCTTGGCAGAGCTACGACAGCGCCTGTCCCAGCACGGCGAAGAGGCGCCGAAGGGTTGGACGAAGGCGCAGCTGAAGCTTCGTCTGATCGAGATCGAAGGAGAAGAGGCCATGCTCCCTCAGGCCAAGGAAGTGTCACCGCTTCGGCAGATGGAGGTGAACATCAACAAGGCAGCTCGCCGCAAGGCGGACCTCCAGAAGTTTGTGAAGGAAGAGATGGGAGTGGATATCACGGGCATGGAGACAGTGGAGATCCTCAAGATGAAGGCCTTGAATCGGGCGTACAACAGCATTCCCGGCCATGCGGAGGACCCCGTGGGATTTGGACAGTGGTGCCACTTGAAGTACAAGGAGGTGAAATCCCAGCAACCGGAATACTGCCAGCGGGTGCTGACAACCTCGTCCGAGGGCCCATGCAGTCCACGACTTCGTCGCCTGGCCACATGGCTGAAGTCAGTGGGACACATCGAGACTCCACCCATGCCGGAGAAGAAGGGCACCAAGACGAAGACATCGGGCTACCAGCCCGGAGCAGCGTCGAGCAGCTCTCAGTCGGGATCGGCATCGAGTGCACCGCAGACACCAGAGCAGGGCGAGGAGGTCAAGGCAATGCTTCAGAATTTGATGGTGACGGTGAAGAACCTGTCAGACGACATGGTACAGGTGAAGCAGAGCTCGAAGGAAGCCAAGCGCCGCACTCGTCATGCCGAGGACGTCACTTCTACGAGCGAATGGGACCAAGTGTCGGAGCTGCAGTAGAAGGGCCCATGGAAGCCTATGAGCTCTCGGATGGAGAGACGGCGGATGGGCCTGAATGTGAGAGCCGAGAGCTAAGCCTCTCAGAAGTCAAGACTCTCAGCTGGAAAGCTGAGAGACTGCTTCCTGACAGTATGGAGGCTCTCGTACAGACCAGGAAGCCCATCCTTTTTGAACTTGCTTGCGCACCGGACTCCGTGCTGTCAAAACAGATGCAGCTGATCACCAATCGATCGTCGAGTGCACAGCGTTTTGCATACTGGAACGGACATGATATCGGAACCAATACGGGAGTTCGGGCCATTCTCGTGGCCATCAAGAAACAACGGCCGGAACATGTTTGGATTTCCACGGAATGCGGTCCGTTCAGTCGTATGCAACAGGTGAACCAACGAAACGAAAAACAAGTTTTGGAACTGAAACAAAAACGGGAGTCGTGCATTCGCATGTATGTCGGAGGGCTAGCTATCTACACCTATTGCTACCTACTCGGCATCCCCACCACTTGGGAGTGGTCGGAGACGTGCGACGCGTGGAGGCTTCCGATGGTTCAAAGGGTGTTTCAACGATATCCTCCCGTGTTTTGTGTCACGAAGGGTTGTCGTGTGAACCTGAAAGACCACAAGCAAGGGATGTTGTTGAGCAAGGGTTGGAAGATGGCCACCACACACCGCAGCCTGGCACAACAAATGGAGTTGCCCTGTCAATGTTCCGGGAAACATGCCGTGTGTCAAGGTGCTCTCACGAGGCGTTCCGCATACTACACCACCGAATTCGCCCGTCGTGTTTGTCGTGCCATCTTGCATCCCCAAAGATCCGGTGACATTCATGGAGAACTGTCAGGACAACACGGACCACCCAAATACTTGAAAGAACATGACATGGAGTGTTGTTGTAATGAGATCCACCACCCTCGTAGTGACATGAAGTGTAGCATGTGTGAACTGAGCCACGAATCGGGGGAGGTGTTGAGTTTGGTAGGAGAACTGGAAGAGGATGAACCTGATCTCACTCCCGAGGAAAAAGAAACCGCCCTGAAACATATCGCAATGCTCCATCGAAACACGGGACATGGACCAATAGAACACCTGGTACGAGCCTTAAAGTCACGACGTGCTGATCCTAGAATCATCGAGCTGGCCCGGACCTTTGATTGCTCAGTGTGTCGAGAGCTCAAACGTCATGTGCCTAGACCTAGAGTGAGTCTCGAACCTTTAGCACCAAAGTGGCATGTACTCCAGTCCGATTGCGCTTTCTGGAATCATCCACACTCGAAGGTTCGGGTTCAGTTCACTTTGTTGATCGACGAAGGTTGTCGGTTTCGGATTGGGAAGGTGATGAGAAAGGGTCCTGGGGGTGTTTCCGGGGAACAAATGATTCAATTCTATCAAGAGTGTTGGAAACCCATTTTTGGAAAGCCCCACAAGTTGAGGGTTGATCCGGCAGGACCTTGGAGGTCACACATGGTGGACGACTACTTCAGTAGAGAACAGGTAGAACTGGACGTGGTGCCTGCAGAGGCCCATTGGGGAATCAGCCAGGTGGAACGAGCAATCCAGTGCACCAAGCACATCATGACCAAGTTGGCACTGGCAGAACCCGAGATCTCACCAGAGGAAGCCCTGTCGGAAGCCGTTCGAGTGGAGAACGAACGAGAGGTCGTTCGTGGATATAGTCCGGCACAACACGCTTTGGGACGGTCTCCTGATGCCCACGGACGTTTTGGCAGTGAAGTTGGACCGATCGATCATGAAACCCTGTGTGAAAACCCCGAAGGTGAGTTTCAACGGAACCAGGAACGTATGAGGACGGCAGAGCAGGCCTTCACCGATTTCGTGTACGACGATCGAATCACTCGAGCCAAGAACACTAGAAGCTATGCTCCTCAGAGATTCCTTCCTGGAGACCTTGTCTTTTTTTGGAGGATCCAAGGCCTGACCAAAGGACCCGCTGCTTCATCTCGAAGCGGCGGATACACCGGACCTTGTCGAGTGCTCGCCGTCGAAACACGAATGACCGAGGAAGGTAACTATCATCCAGGGTCGGTCGTTTGGTTGGTCCGTGCCGGACGTTTAATTAAGGCCAACGTGACTCAACTGAGGCATGCCTCCGCTCGGGAGGAAACACTTGAAGCAATTACCAATCCTAATCCTGTTTTGCCATGGACCTTCACCCAGTTGACCACTGATTTAGGGAACAACAGTTTTGATGATGTTTCCGGTGAAGTCCCTGAACCCATGGAAATCGAGCAAAGTAGGGATGAGGAACAGGTTCGAACGTTTCGCCGCGTTCGACAGAAACGTTCCGCACCCGAATGTCCTGTGCCAAGTAGAGAAGCGTCAGGGAGCAATGAAGAACGAAACCCGTTCGGACACATGGCGGACTGCGACATACCCGAGACGTTTCAGGATTCATATGCCGAGTGTTTTTGGGGTTCCAGCCAAGCGGCAGTGGAAATTGGAATCGAAGTTCCTGATAGTAAGAGGGGTAGACTGTACATGACCAATCATTTCCAGTCCTTTTTGTCAGCCCAACTTCGAAGGAAGGGAGTTGAAGTGTCAGAACGCCACATGTCCGACGACGAACGAGAACAAATGAGGATTGCAAAGGGGACTGAAGTCAAAAAGTTCTTGGCGGCGGATGCATTGAAAGCATTGCCACCACACCTTCAGCCCAGCAGAGGCGTGGCCATGAAAATGCGCTGGGTACTCACCTGGAAGCGCGAAGAGTCCGGTGAACGAAAGGCCAAGGCCCGTTGTGTTGTTCTAGGATACCAGGATCCTTGCTATGCCGAGAGACAGACCATGGCTCCAACTATGTCCAGAAGCACGAGACAAATCCTCCTAGTCGTGGCCGCCAGCCACGGCATGAGAGTTGCCAAGGGAGATGTTTCAGGGCTTCCTGCAAGGGAGGTCATACCAACATGATGCCTATGTCATCCCAACTGATGAGATCTGTGACGGACTTGGAATCCCTGCAGGTTCCATCACAAAGCTAAAGAAAGCCTGCTATGGGCTTGTGGATGCGCCGCTGGAGTGGTTTTTGACCGTTTCAGAGTTCCTCATCTCCATCGGCTTTCAACGTTGTGTGTGCGACCCATGCTGCTTCAAGTACACCGACCAACATGGAAAGCTTGTCGGGTTGGTTAGTGGACACGTGGACGACTTCTTGTTTTGTGGCCGAGAGTCATGTGTAACATGGAAGGGTTTGTGTGATCAAATACAAAAGAAGTTTCAGTGGGGGACATGGGAGTACGACTCCTTCACACAATGTGGCGTCAAGGTTGAGAGGACCAAGACAGGAGGCTTCGACTTGTCTCAGACACAGTATATCGACGACATTCGCGAGCTGAGTATTTCGGCAGAACGTCGTCGGGAGCCTAAATCACACACTACTGAAGGAGAAAAGACGAGAATTCGAGCCGTCTTAGGAGCTCTCTCTTGGTGTGCACAACAAACCAGCCCTCACTTAGCAGCTGGAGTTAGTTTGTTTCTTTCACAGGTGCGAGACAGTACGGTTAGCACGATGATAGAAATCAACAAACTGGTGTACAAAACCAAGTGTCATAGGAAGCATGTGTTGAAAATTCATGGTAACATACAGATTTCTGATCTTCTAGTTGCGGGCTGGGCAGACGCTGCTGCCCAAAACAGGCATGATGGCAAGAGCACGTTAGGGATTGTGATAGGGATCACTTCCAAAAGACTTCTTTCTGGTGATCTTTGTCCTGTGAGTCCTGTGTTTTGGCGTTCAGGAAAAATCGAAAGACAGTGTAGATCACCTGGTGCGGCAGAATCTTTGGCTGCCATTGACTGTGAAGATGCCATGTACGGGATTCGACTTCAGGTTTTTGAGATGCTTGGAAACCATGTTCAGGTGCGACACACTGAGGAACAAGTTGCAAAGATCGCTGGAGTGTTGGTGACAGATTCCACCAACGTCTACGATCGCATGCAGACTGAGGTGTATGTCCCCAAGGGTCCGGAACATAGAACTAGTCTGGAGCTTATCGGCCTCAAGGAAGCTAGTGTAAAGACACAAATGCCGATACGTTGGGTGCACAGCGACGCACAACTGGCAAACTCTCTCACAAAAGATTCGGAGCCCCAACAGCTGCAGAAATTCTATCACCTTGAACAACATTGGAAAATCGTTGACGACCCTCTGATGAGGTCAGCTAGAAACCGCAAACGCCTCGGACTGGACGCCTTGGACAATGCCCATGAAGAGAACCAAAGTTCGGAGAGTTCCGGGGGATGTTGATGTGTCACTCGTACCCAAGCCAACCTTGGTACTCGCTACCAGCTAAGTGGATCAAAATCCAGTGTCCTAGTGCTCCGCCGGGTTCATTCGCCCTCGCCCGTTCGACCGCTTTGCGCTGTCCTTTCCGTGCGAGTTGATTGAAGAGAGCTAGACACTTATTTCCATCAAGCTTGACCGTCGTTGACGCCGGGAGTATCCCCGCAACAGCTGGCTTGTGAGAAGGGGCTACCTGCAATATATATATATATATATATACATAGTTATTTAATAATAGGAAGACACCCTGGCCCGATGGCTGGTCAAAAAACCCTTGGTCGTTGCCTGGGAGGTCTCCCGATTTTGATACACGCCCGCTCCTTCTTCAATGCGTTTTCATAAAGTTATTTGGATTCATTGGATTCATTGGATTCATACCCTAAAACACCAGCACCTCCCACCACTGGGAATCGCCCACCGCCTTGAAAACCCCCGACCCGCCCGACCGCTCTTCGGTGCTGAGGCGCTGAGAACTTCTTGGCATTTCCGGCCTTTCGGACCTGCACCCGAATCCGAGTCCAATCCGCTGACGTGCCTTGCGACTCGAACGGCTCCTGGCCATACTACTAGTCACAAGAAGCTACTAGTAACATCCCTTCGATTTTCTGAATCCCAGACATGTTGAAAGGGCGCCCAAGCTCATTGGATGCCCAAGGGGAGGTTTCCCCCTTCAGTGAAATAAGAAAAAGGTATTCCAACTTTCTTCTACACATCTTGAGCCAGCAACTTACCTGATCCATCCTGCACCCCCCCCTTTCCGTCGCCTCCACGTACGACGCGTCAGCCACCACGTGGGCGTTGGTGAGCAAGCACCTTGCATGTATGAGCACGTTTGGGAGGGTGGGGTCCAATATTATCCTGGACGAAGGACAAGAAGGCTTAGCTTGGACCTGAACGGATGGCCGCCGTGGGCCGCCGTGGTCGCAGCAGCACTTGCAAGCGCACGCGTGTACACACGTGTGTACACACCATTGGCACTGTAGCTGCTCGTCACGAGCTACCACCATGCTTCGAGCAGCTGCTCATCGCAAGACGCACAATCGTGCGTCCAGGAGACCGGCCGATCAACAGACGAGCAGAGCCCCAACGATCGTGGCTCGGCATAAGCTGGTCCTTTCCAGCAGTGCCCAGAAGGACGCACATCGGAATAATTACACCACCGTAGACCCCAAACAGTTTGTGTTTTTCAAAATCGAAACTAGAGCTTGCGACGTCCAGAGCTGGGAGACAAATGTAAAGGATTGCAAGGCAGAGACGGACACAGCAGTACAGAGCGGGCGGACACATCTTAAGAAAGAATTGAGAAGCCCTAACAGTAAACCTTTGGGGAATTATTCTTCAAGCGCGAACATGATGCTGGTCATGCTGCTCAGTCAGCGGGGAGCTGACCACGTGAGGACAAGAAACAAAAGCATGAGGAGCGAAGGATGTGACATGAAATTGATTGTTGGTGCCTGACGTATGCCCTCCGCCCCAAACTGAACAGAGAGATCGCTGCCACGCCGCCGAAATCCAATCCGGTCATTCATCCAACGGTTGCCTGAAAGGAAAACAAAGCTGAGAGAGTTAACAGTGCGGCAGGAATGCAATCCCGGAGACAGTCACGTACCCCTTGCGAAGGAGCAAGAACTTTTCACAGGCGAACCTGTTCCAGCGGACAGGGCAGAAAACAGCAGTGCAGGCACCAAACCTGAAAGACAAAAAGAAAGAAATCACATGGGAGACAAATGAATAGAAATGCTACATGACCAGCGGAAAAGGGCGGCAGCGCCAGTGACAGACCCGGGAAACAAATGAATAGAAATGCTGCATGGCCAACGGACAAGGGCGGACACGGGCGGACACCACCAGTGACAGACCTGGAAGATGAACAGAAATGCTACATGACCAACGGAAAAGGGCGGACACCAGGGAGACAAACGAATAGAAATGCTACATGGCCAGCAGAAAGGGGCGGACACCAGCAGTGACAGAACTGGGAGACAAATGAATAGAAATGCTACATGGCCAGCAGAAAAGGGCGGACACCACCAGTGACAGGCCTGGGAGACAAATGAACAGAAATGCTGCATGGCCAGCGGAAAAGGGCGGACACAAGCAGTGACAGACCTGGAAAACAAATGAATAGAAATGTTGCATCCCCAGCGGAAAAGGGCGGACACCAACAGTGACAGACCTGGGAGACTAATGAATAGAAATGCTGCATGGCGGACGAAAAACACCAGACAGACCTGGGAGACAAATGAATAGAAATGCTACATGGCCAGCGGCAAAGCACGGACACCACCAGTGACAGGCCTGGGAGTCACATGAATAGAAATGCTGCATGGCCAACGGACAAGGGCGGACACGGGCGGACACCACCAGTGACAGACCTGGAAGATGAACAGAAATGCTACATGACCCACGGAAAAGGGCGGACACCAGGGAGACAAACGAATAGAAATGCTACATGGCCAGCAGAAAGGGGCGGACACCAGCAGTGACAGACCTGGGAGACAAATGAATAGAAATGCTACATGGCCAGCAGAAAAGGGCGGACACCACCAGTGACAGGCCTGGGAGACAAATGAACAGAAATGCTGCATGGCCAGCGGAAAAGGGCGGACATTAGCAGTGACAGATTTGGGAAACAAATGAATAGAAATGTTGCGTCCCCAGCGGAAAAGGGCGGACACCGCAAGTGACAGACCTGTGACAGACCTGGGAGACAAATGAAAAGAAATGCTACACGACCAGCGGAAAAGGGCGGACACCACCAGTGACAGACCTGGGAGACACACGAATAGAAATGCTGCATGGCCAGCGGAAAAGGGCGGACACCAACAGTGACAGACCTGGGAGACGGAAGAATAGAAATGTTACATGGCCAGTGGAAATGGGTGGACACCAGCAGTGACACAAAGGGCGGACACGTCTTAAGAAAGAATTGAGAACCCCTATAACAGTAAACTGTTTGGGGAAAAATCGCCCGGAAACCCGACTACAAGCACCCAGCCTGGGAGACAAATGAAAAGAAGCGGGAGACGACCAGAAGCACCCAGCCTGGGAGACAAATGAAAAGAAGTGGGAGACAAATGAAAGGAAGTGGGAGACAAGCTGGCCGGGAACCCGACCACAAGCACCCAGCCTGGGAGACAATGAAAAGAAGTGGGAGGAGACAAGCCAGCCGGGAACCCCACAAGCACCAGTGTGGAAGACAAATGAAAGGAACTGGGAGACAAATGAAAAGAACTGGGAGACAAATGAAAGGAAGTGGGAGACAAGCCGGCCGGGAACCCGACCAGGCCATCCAGCACCAAGGCGACCATTCTTTAAAGCATTGAGAACCCCTAACAGTAAACTGTTTGGGGAAAAAACTGGCCCCCCAAAGAAGAACAGGTGTTCGGGGCTATAGCCCACAACTTGGCGTCTTGGAAAGGTGAGCTGTGCAGCCCATATCTTTGGATATCCATCATGATTCGCCAAGAGACCCCGCCAGTCTCCCACTCCCAGTCTGCAGGTCTCCATGCATCTTCCCCTCGTGTAGAATCACGCAGCCCGAGCCCATCCGGTCCTGGCGACACGTCTGGGCTCGGAAGGCACCAGGTCTTGGAGGTCAACCGGGGGTTGCGTCCATATAGCCAGGAAACAAGAGGGCTGTGCCAATGTCGTCAGCCAGACGCAAATGCCCAAATCAATGTTGCCTGGGACTGAGGATGTATTACATATACAGCGTTGTATAGCCATTAGCGAGCTGCTTGGGCTTTCAGGTAGGCTTTGGACTTGTGTATCGTACCCCCCTCCATGCTTTCGAAAATCGCCTGGCTGTGACATTGAAGTTATGAGCAGGTCTTAAGTCTCAACTCATTCTCTCAGCATATCTCACGACCCAGTGGCCCAAGCAACCCATGTACGCCGGTTCTTCCGTGTCGTTCATCTTTCACCGTACCTTTCATGTGACCTCTCTCTCTCTCTCCACCTCTTGCTGCTTGTTGGTCCATGGATGCGAAGGGTCTTGGCCTCGGCTCGGACGCATGGACGTGTTGTCGCGTCGCTTGAGGAGGTCTCCGTTTCAACGTATGAAATCCACTAAGGAGTAAAAAATAAGGGCCCAAACCTCGTGTCCCAAAAAAAAACAAAAGCTCGTCAATGATCATCTACGTCTGTGCAAAAAGTTAAGGATCCCAAAAAGAATCATGGAAGATTCATCCACAGTATATGGCCCTGTTGGTTCTTTTTGCTGCTGTTCGCTTTTTCCGTATGCCAGCCCTTTGCCTGGGGACCATGCAGACCAGGAACCCATCAACCTGCTGGCTTCCAATCATAGGTATGAGAAATTTGGATGACATTGGTCAAGGTTCACTGTTTCAACCGTGGACCGCCGACCTGCTTTTCGTCCAGTCTCACAGAACTTGGCTCTGGGGTTTGTGAGCCGTGCTTCATTAACCCAATCCGCCCCCCCTCCAGCTGCGGCTGGCCCCATTTGGCCAGGGCTCCAGGCTGGAGTACATGCAGTAGACCTTCACCTAGGCGTGCTCTAAAGAGGGACATGAAACATCGTGAAACCTCCTTCAATGCGTTTTCGGGAAAAGGGGATCGCTGTTCTATCTTTCTGGGGATGGCAGCCCCTCATTTGCAGGTCTCCTCATACATGAGAAGGCTGGTGTTCGACGGTAAAGATGCCGACCCTTGGTCTTGGTGAGGTGTGTTGATCAAAAAAATTGCACACGCTCCAGAGGCAAAACTCTCCGACAGATCAATGTTTCAGGAGAGAGGGGTTTCCTTCTTCAGGAGTCGGGCTTTTGAAAGCCCACAAATGTCTGGGACCCCAAATCAAGGACATGGGACGATGGTGGGCTCGACTTCATGATGAGCTGCGCAAATTGTTCATGAAGCCACCAGTGATGAGACGTTCCGGGAAACTGGCCTCAAGGACCGCGTCGTTTAGCGTTCCGAATCGCTCGGCTGGCCGGTCGTTTCGCTGGGGAATCCGCTCTTGTGTGCCCAACTCGGTGCCGGGTGCCGGACCACGAAGTGCTTCCGCCCCTGACCTTCGTGGGAGCCATCCTCTTGACCTTCGGGAACAAGAACGTGGCCCCCCGATGGAGTCGAAGACCCTTCGAGTCGAAGCAGAGACGACGGGCCGTGAAACAGAACGCTGAGCTGGGCCCCACTGAGGCCTGCAAAACCCAACTGTTGGATGCCCAGCTGGCCCAGAAATGAGTGACCAGAAAAGGTTGTCAAGAAAGGTCCAACCCACGAACCTCGAGACCACGCGCTTTCAACTCCAAATCAGCATGCATCAAGCATAGAATCCATTCAATTCGATAACCCACCAAGCCAATCATCCACCTGTTTCACTCCACCAAGCCGCTCGCCGAACCCCCAACCGCCTCCGTCGTTTTACGGGGCACCCATGCCGGGCCTTGGTCCCCCACCTCACGCCCGAAGATGTCGACCTGAGTGAAACACGGAAAGAAAAAGATGCTGCGAAGTTGCAGAAACGTGTCTCTTGACCGGGTCCCATGCAGGTTTGGCAAAAAAAAAAAAGTGAACTCATCCCTTTCACCGGGTCACCATCTCTCTTACTACCTCTTTTCTTACCATCATTCGTTTCATGTCATCCCAAAAGCTTCACTGCATTGTGATCCCAATGTGCGGCACTTCGTTCTGCCCCGCCCTCAGGGCCCAAACCAGCTCCGCCTGCCGAAGTCGGTTTACCGATCGACTGAGGCCCAAGCCACTGAATTCGTGGCTTTGGGCCTGGGCTGATGCTGCGATGTGGACGGAAGGCTTCTTATAGGCTTCGAAGCTGATTAAGACATACCCTATGTATCCCTATGTTCTCTCACCTGGGGTCTTTCTTGCAATTTGCACCTGCTTTTGTTCAAAAACTGTTAGAGGGACCCTGGTATCAAACTGCATACTTGAGCTTGGTGCTAACTGTTACTTAGCTTTGGGGAGAGAAAAAATCCGATCCATATGCCGTAAGAGGCGAACCAAAAAGAAGTTAGAAAAAACGCCAGACCTGAAGATCCTTCAGGAAGTTCAGACAAGTTCAGCATAATATCAAAAACCGCCACTCGTCAGAACCCACTCGTGTGTCTTCACGGCACAGCGGGAGGGGGCAGGAGGCCGGAGTGGCCCCTTTTCTCCGCCGTGAGTCCTTCCGCCGTGGTTCGCAGCGAGTGATGTGCGGCGACCTTTGCGCCACCAGTGAGACGATCGGAACTCCGAAACGGCGACCGTTTGCGCCACCGGTGAGACGATCCCAGGTGGATCAAGCGCGTCTTGCCCACTGCCAAGGGCACACCCGGTGATTCAAAGCAGCACAATCGACCAATGAGAACACATGAAATGGTCAGCTCAAAAAGTTCATGGCAATTTCCAATTTCCATGCAAGTAAACCAAGTCCCAGAAGTTCAATGAAACACATGTGAGTGTCTGGATTCCATATGAGACCCTTGAGACCTTTGAGACCCTTGACCAGGAAGTCACCGTGAGTTTGATCAAGGCAGTCAACCTCCGAACTCAGGTGCTATTTCACAGGTTCCAGTGGATTCTGGGTTGCCAAGCGACCGGTAGGCGCGGCACAGGTGCTATTCCCCCGGCAGTCCGACCGGGTGTTTGCACGGTCGTTGACCAGGTCCTCAGCGGCACCCCGCACCCAGCACCAGCACCGGCACCCTGCACCAGCAGCAGCAACCTGTCTCCACCATGTGCACAGCCAGCTCACAGCACCAGCACCAGCACCGGCACCCGGCACTAGCACCGGCACCAGCACCAGCAACCTGTCTCCACAACGTGCACAGCCAGCTCACAGCACCAGCGCCGGCACCCGGCACCCAGCACCACCACCAGCTCACAGCACCAGCACCAGCACCAGCACTCGGCACCCAGCGCCAGGACCAGCAACCTGTCTCCACGTGCACAGACAGCTCGCACCTGGCACCCGGCACCCAGCACTAGCACCGGCACCAGCACCAGCAACCTGTCTCCACCCAACCTGTCTCCACCGCGTGCACAGCCAGCTCACAGCACCAGCACCGGCACCTGGCACCCAGCACCAGCACCGGCATCAGCAACCTGGCTCCACCACGTGCACAGCCAGCTCACAGCACCAGCACCGGCGCCCAGCACCAGCAACCTGTCTCGAAAGCGCGCACGGGCAACTCATTGTTAGTAGAACCCCATAGCTTCGCTATCTGGGGAAAAATAATGAGCTGAATCACCTCTTCATATGGCAGGGGTTATTATATAGTCAAGTCTACATTTTACACGTTGCAGAATCTGCAGTTCAGCGAGTGTATGTTACATGGTTGACGAAAGTCATGTGTTCCATTTACAAAGCACACTCACCAGGTGGGCTCAACTGATGCTCCGACCCTCAGATTGTCAGCTCAACTGAGCTGAGCGTGCCGTCATTTTCAGACCTGGCAGGCGGACGCAGACCTAACGAGCCTTCCACAAAACCTATTCCCTCCAATAGCTGATAAGCCTCTGGTTTCATGTGAGTCTTGTGGGGGGTGTAAAACAATCTAAATCCAAGGTTTGTGAACAACCAATGACAGAATGGTGGACAACATCCATGAGTGAATCGCGCTTTGCTTCAAAGCCTTTGACCCACACCCGGTGCCCCTTCAGCATGGCTGACAGCCCAAACACTGGAGGAAGGGCACGGCCGCACTCTTTGGATGTATAAATACATAAACTAGGGGCCCGGAGCAAAGTGCTCAAATGAGTTCAGCCAGTAGGCCTCTATCAGACCGATACAAATACCAAAAAAGCAGCAACTGCTGTCGTCTTCGAACGCGAACACACAAATGACCGAGAGATCATCTACAGTACTTCAAAACGTTGCCCATGCAGCACCTTCGGGCCGGCGAAGGCCTCTGAGAAGAGAAGCCGCTTCAGGTCCGTTCCTAAGTACAACTGAAAGTCTGCCAAGAGCACTATCGAGGTGATGGGTCAGGGCGATGGGTCAAGGCTGTGGGTCTAGCGGTCAAGTAACAAAGACATTCTGGCAATATGAGTTTGAACCTTGCTTCAGAGCCATCGGCTTACGCAGAAATGAATACCGCCTCTGCCTCTCAGCAGCTCCCAGACCGATCCCCTCTGTCTGAAATGGTCCGGTCTTCCTGCCCCGTTGCTCTGTGGGATCATCCACTTCGTTCAAAGGGAACGGAACCGTTCAGATGCCAGCATTCACCGAAAGAATGCAAAAATCGGTGCATTTGAGGGAAGGGGAACTCAGATTGCACTCATCCCCCAAAAAAAAGACCAGGTTTGAAAGAGGGAAACGTTGGGAAATACAAGACCTTGACAAAAAGGTTTCTTTGAAAAGATCTATCCTGAGCTTTGCTCGACCGAAGAGGATTGAATGTCTTCAAGATGGGGCACAGCAAGGGTGTTGACCAATCACCACTCATATAGTCATTCAAGAGACAATCGCTTAACGCTTCAGGTTCCTCTCAGCACCCTGCCCTGGCTCTCCCACCCACCTTGCCAGTTCTGATGGCAGGATGTGATTGTCATGATTCATGTTTGCTTGGCTGAAGGGGCTGGTCGTTTACTTGGCCCCTGGCAGGCATGAACTGGCCGTGTAGAGGGCTTTGGGGTCACAAAAGGGGCATTGGTAAACTGAAGTTGGACACTATGGGCTTTCAAGACAAGTGATGAGCCCGCCGCCGCCGGCTTCCGTCGACATGCGTCGCTGCGTCAACCAGTTGGACGCCCTGTGGACGGATCGACAAAGAAACCGCAGCCACATAAGGATGGCCGCATGGCCCCTGCTCCAAGGGCTCTTTCTGGAAACACCTAGCAGCCTAGCACCGACTGGCGTGGCACTTCGGAACATATGTTTTCCTTTCGAAGGATCGCTTCTAAGCACTAAAGATGTCCTGCCCACCCCATCACCACCCACAAACCCACGAGAACCCACGAACCCACGCGCAGCGCTGATGGATGTTTCGGGCGCCACCGGCGGGGGAAATGGGTTCCCAGCGCCGATCCTGGGTCCTGGGTTTCCGGGGTCCTGGTCACACGTTTAAGTGTCCATCCCTGCCAAGAGTCGGGAATAAACCACGTCATGATCGCGATCAGTACCTCATCAGGTCCCGTTTCAGCAGGCCCACCACTTGGCGGTGTCCTCTCTTGAGATGCTTCAGGAAGCCAAATGGACTTGGTGTACTTGATCATCTGAGTGGAGGCTTCATTGAGTTTCACTTGCATGTGTGTGTTTCACTTTGTCTTATTGTTCTGTCTTACCTCCGTTACTTCCTTTATATAATATAGTGGTGTTTGCCAACAGGAAACGTGCGAGTCAGGGGCAAGGTCGAAGACCTTTAGTTACCGCTTTGGCTCTCAACTTCAATATGCAGCTGGGACTGTACTAGAAAAGCCATGATATGAAGAAAGTCTATGAGAGTCTCAAATAACTTGGATCCAGTCAACTTTGGGGGAATCTAAATCAAACCTGTCCTGAACATTTTCGGGCTGGGATGCCTGCCTACCACGACCATCCATGCAGCCTCATCAATGCAACCAATCTCCTAGCTTGCACAAGGTCAGAACTTCCAACGGGTCTACAGTAAATTAACAAGTCAAAATGATGATTCTAGCCCATTGTTTGTGACTGGCTCAAACAACAGCCCCTATGTCAAACAAATACCCAATGGGAAATCGGCCGCTTGATTTCTCCACCACCCAAACTTCTCGGCCACCACCTCCATTAAATTTCACAGCGACGTGTCTCGCACTAACCACCGGAACACGAGAAGCCGACGGGGCTCACGTAGGTGGTCACCAGCATGGCCCCATGCAACCAATTGGTGTTCCCATGCTGCGTCACTTGAGACACCAAGAAGACCTCATGTGACGATGGCGCCGCCGGCTGGACCACTGCACTGTCACGGGGAACACCACGGAGAGCGGGCGGGCGGGCGGGCGGGC